CGTAGAGGTAGAATGTCAGACGGGTCCACAAGCTTCAAAAAGTCCCGACATCGTAGAGGTAGAATGTCAGCCGGGTCCACAAGTTCCAACAGGTCCAGAAATCATGGAGGCAGAATCACAGCCGGGTTCACAAGTTCCAACGGGTCCAGAAATCGTAGAGGTAGAATTTCAGCCGGGTAAACAAGTTCCAACGGGTCCAGAAATCATGGAGGTAGAATCGCAGCCGGGTCCAGACATCCTAGATCCCTCCACTCATCCCAAAGAGACTCCAAGTGTTTCAAGACAGCCTTGTGAGGATCCAGCCCTTCCCGTATGGAATGATTATATGGACTTACAAAATTTGGTGCAACAGGAAGGAGAAGAAAATAATCATACGGATGGGTGGGTCAAAGACTGTTTAGATCATTTAACCTCGAATGAAATTGAACTGTTATGGAATTGCATTTCTGAAATCACATCGGAAATGGGATAAAAACCAAAACAAAAAAAAATTTTTTTAATAACAAATTGGAGGAGGGTCATGATGTCAATTAAAAAAAAATATTATATAGAGTCCAATCTTGGTGGTTCACTTCAGTTTTCCAGCATGAGGTGATCCACGTTTCCCGAAATATGGATCCCATTCCAAGAGAGATTGTGTAGAGCCTTCACTTCAGTTCTTTTTTTTTTCTACCAAGAGGAGAGGGTCCCCAAAGGGCTACCCATGTCCAAAGAGAGAAAGTGTAGAGCGTTCATTTCAGTTTTTTTTTCCAAGTTTAGGGGAGGGAGGTCTCAAAATGACACCCCCCCATTTTCAAAGAGAGATGGTGTAGAGCGTTCATTTCTGTTTTTTTCCAAAGTTAGGGAGTTTTCAAATGGCTACCCATTTCAGAGAAAGAGAGAGAGAGAGAGAGGTGTAGAGCGTTCATTTCAGTTTTCCAACATTAGAAGGTCCCAAAATACCTTCTGAATTCAAAGAGAGATCGTGTAGAGCGTTCATTTCCAGTTCTCCAAGATCAGAAGAAGAGGGTCCGCTTTTCCCAAAAGGGCTTTCCGCATTCAGAGACAGCGAAATGCAGACTTCAGTTTTTCTCCCTCCCCAAGAATAGAGGGTCCCAAAATGGCTTTCCATTTCAAAGAGAGAGGGAGAGGCGTTCATTTCCATTCTCCAAGATAGGGTCGTCTGCTTTTTCCCAAAATGGCTTCCCAATTCAAAGAGAGAGAGAGAGAGAGTGAAAAGGTGTGTAGAGCGGTCATGTTCATTCTCCAAGATAGGGTCGTCAGCTTTTTCTCAAAATGGCATCTCCCCATTCAAAAAGAGATCGTAACCAATTTTTTTTTCCAGTTTTTTTCCAAGATGGGGGGAAGAAAACCTAGGATGGAATAACACGACACATAGAGGAAAAGAGAAAAAAAACGCCATCTTGTCTTTTTCTGATAGGGTACCGGTGTTCGAATACTTTTGTGACCGACTGTACAATCTCTTTGAAGCGTGGAGAAAGGCTATTCTGAGTTCTTAATAGAAATACATTGCAAAATGTCTTGTACGTATTAATGTAATTATATCCCGCACTTGCAATACATTTACTCAAATAGGTTAAATCTAAAGAAAGCACTATCTGTCTATTTCAGTTAAGATTACTGAACAGAAAAGAAAGTTCTAGAACATACCTTATGAATTGATACTAAAATGAGGTATACTGATATTTTTAAGCAATTTTATAGGACAAATGTAATTTTCAGATCCCCTTCTGTTATGTAATATAAAGGATACACAAGGAATTTAATGTAAAGAGAAGCACATCAATTTGGAACTTTTAAATTAATCAAAATCCATCTTCAGATTGGCAATAATTTGAAAGACCTTTCAGTTATTTCGGACATAAAATTCTCTTCATAAAACAAAAGTACTCTGCAACAGAATATTCTTCCTAAAAGAATGGTATATAGCGTATACGCTCACGTAAAGTCCGCACTTTTTTACTAAAATTACATCACTAAAATGCAGATCCAGACATTACACAGATTGTTCAAATGTTGCGCTTTTTCTCATGAGTAATTTTGGGTGTAAATATCTCCCAATCGGTATAGTGGCCAGGGAAGCTGACTGCGATGCCGAAGGGCCTGTGTTCGAATCCCGGAGAAGGCATGGGTTAACTGTCCGTCCCTTCATAGGAAAGGCGATGGTGGCCCACCTATTAGATGCCTCCATAATAAAGAGACCACCACATCCGGCCTTGTATAGATTAATGGACTGGGTTACATTTGTACTTGTTCACAATCTGCCATTGGGAAAAAAAATGTGTGTAAATTTCATTTCAAACAGCCAAGTTAAGTTCTAATTGGAAGAAAATGGCGTAAGTAATAAAAGTATGAAATTTAAAGTTGTCTAAATAGCTATTTAAAATTTAGAAACTCACTTTTTCCCATCAAAATATATAATATAAATTACCCCGTTTACGTTATCAACACTCGGCGCGTATTAGTTCGCACAGAAGCACAATATAGAGGCATAAATCAATCAACACTTGCAATATTTACTTTTACACAAATTAAACAAATGTTGGTTCTTTTAATATCTTGCATTCGCCGCAACCAGCCTTCACTCGCCTTGAATTGCGATGCAGGAATGTCTTATTCTCATGGCCTCAGCAAGCGCTCTTATTTGGAACAATTCCCGTGTTACAGCGTAACCTAGAGCACGTATATCACGAATGTACGCAACTACTTTTTTCCGGAAACTTGTATTTTGAAGTACAAAACGCACGTCTTGTTTTGTTCGTTGCCGTCAGTTAATGACGCTGTTTGCTCCAGTTGCTGATACACTTTTCGTCTACCTTATAATGCTTGCTGCTGCTCGTTTTCAAATTTTCCTGCGCAACCTCTAAGACTCCCATTTCAAGCATGCTACTTGCTAACTACCACGAATCCCAGATGCTACTATGAATAAAAGAGAAAGCTCGAAATATTGAAATGCTCAAAGGAGGAAGGAGGGGGAAGTAATTTCATTACAAAACAGTATTTACTGAAAGTCAGTGTGGTAAAAACCTGTTTGGACTGCCTTTATTTATTACCGCATCTGCCAAGTGGATTGCTGGCGCCGATGTTATGACTGTGTAGTTATTATGACCAATAATAATTGTTGCGTACATCAAGTAGTAGTTATTATCTAGTAGTTGTAGTTATTATGACCAATAATAATTGTTGCCCACAACTGAATAACAGTTGCACCACAATTCAATTCTCTGCTTTCCATCCTGGCGCTAACCAAAGACAAAAACGCATATTCTTCCTTTAGAGATGTTTATTGACAATGTTGTAGACTAAAAGGAAAAAGGCGACGTTAAAAAAATATATTTTAAAGTAAGAATTTTTTTAGTTTTTGGAGTGCGGAGCACTTTTTTTTTTTTTTTTTTTTCATAAAATTCATCTGTAAAGTTGTGGTGCGGGATATGTATACATTCTTTTACTAAAACATATTGAATACTGAATTAAGCCATACTTTATTATAATAGGCATCACTTTAGACAAAAAATCTATTATCTACAGATATGTCCTTTAATATGTCAGTTGTAACAAATATATTCTAGTACATGTATAATTATGCAGTGGAACGGAATTTAATGTTTTTATATAATTATTAAGATTTCCAGAGTGGCAACATGATGTCATGTTACGCCGTGTGGCAACATGTCAAGCTGAAAACGTTACTTGGAGTCTTCATTTATAAGCCTTGCGTAAGCTTTATTTTTTAAAAGTTTGTAATATTTTTATGTAAAAAATAAGTAACATATTGCAAACAATGGAAATTGTAAAAATAAATATAATGTTTCTTTTAAGGCCAAAATAAGCATTTATTTCATTTATGAAATACTCTGGCTGATTAGTTTCGATTTGGCTTTTTTATCAAATCCACAATTACATAGTGTGATATTGAAAGCAAATAATATCTAAACCTGTATAGAAACATAGTTTGGGATTTTACATAAGAGAAATATGTTCATCTGGCATAATTACTTGCTGTAATTATACAAGCAAATGACCTGTAATGGTTAAAGATATATATCTGTTGGGATTTTATGTGCGAAAAACGTATTCTTTTTATATAATTTCTTTCTGTAATAATACAAGCAAATAACCTATAACAGTTACAGATATATCTGTGAGGATTTTGCATGGGAAAAACATGTTCTTTTTACATAATTACTTGCTGTAATAACTATTACAGATATATCGTTTCGGATTTTACATGAGAAAAATATGTTCTGCTTACATAACTGTTTTCTGTAATCGGCTAATCTTTGGAATATGGTAACAGGTAGTTTGGCGACATTTTGGCAAGGAGATAAAGATTACGAGCTAGGACTTTAGCAGTGTACATGGATAAAGTCGAGAGTGTGCGCAATGCCATTTTTGTGCTATTCTAGGATGTTTTTCAGTGAAATAGGTGGATGTGTACGTGTACCGTGTATGTGCAATTCCTTAAAAACGCGGCAAGCAGTTGCGATTCTGCACTTTCTCCCCAATTTCGCACCTAATCTTCGTCATGATTAAGTAGTTTTGTTCCATAAAAGTTCTAGCATAAGCGTAATTCGGCTAGCAGATTGTTGGGAAAAAAATGTTGAGTAAAAAAAAAAAAATATGCCTTTACTTCGTGAAAACAAAATGGCATCCTAATGAAAGCTAGCAGCTTGCTGTAGCAGATTTGGTTGCCAAGTTACCCTAATCCAAAGATTAACCTACTAATCTTCATAAACCAACTTAGCAAAATGGCAATTAAAATTTATTGAGTTATTAATTATTGGAATTTCCTTGTTCAGTTTCACTAATTTTATTAATCTGTAGTTGACAAAACTATGTAGTGATACTTACAAGCTTATTGCTCGTGTTAGGATTTTCATCATTTTTAATGCATGATGTTAAGTTTTAATTAGTATCATCTAACCTAAACTTGTGCATTGCATTAAACTCATTGTGTTTTCTTTGTTTTAAAGATTAATCCTAATAATAAAGCATATGGAGTTCCACCTCGAGAATTTGGGATGTATTGAACTGCTGTTGAGGTTGGGATCTGATCCTAACACAAGAGACTTACAAGGACATACACCTCTAATGGACGCATGCCGCTCCAATCCGCAAGCTGTTCCCTTATTACTAAGGTATTTATATACAAATCACGTTGTATCTAATAATTTTTAGGTCTAAATCATAAGTTTGATTTTTTGATAACGATAAATTGTAAATTTGCAATAAGGTTATTTTTCTTTTTTTTTTTTTTTTTTTTTTTTTTTTTTTTTACCATCCAGTCTGTGAAATGAAAATATCTAAGCCTTTTGTGCCCAAAAATCATTCCTCCTATAGAAGAAACTTCGGAGTTCCACAAAATTTCAGAAACTCAAATAGGAATATTCTATCACATACCATTCATAATGTGAACATATATCGCAATATATGTTTGTTAATAGGAAATGAACTGCTTTACGTTAAATTCTTTCTATTCCAAACAGAATTACATTCAGTGTTAATAAATGAGGTCAAAACGTTATGCTGAAAGTCGATACTACTCTATCTTTGAAGGTTTCTTACTCTCTGAACCATTATTAAATTCTTGGTAAATCTATTGTTAAATCATTTCATATTCTCTCAAAATATCAAGAAAAAATCTTAGTTCTACCTGTTAAAGTAGTTAGACTTGATGCTCTCTCCCAAATTTTCATTTTTATTAATAAAAGCAATAAAAATAAAGTTTTTGCGGTTTAAGAATTTCACGTTAAAAAGCATGAGGCATATGTTAGAAAAAGGAAACACAGAAGTCATCTGTTGCCCAGCATTGTTGGTCCGAAAGTTACACTTTTAATTTTTCAACCAATATTAAAAAAAATCTTCGATTGGTGAATTAGATTTTATAAAGGTGTTTCACATTAAAAAAAAAATATATCTGTTCTAGTTAACGACCCTAATTCTAATCCCCTCTTTGCCTTCAGCCTTTAAGGAAATTATTTTTTAGTTCTCATTTCATCAATGGATGGCGCCAGTAGCTTAACTCCTGTCCAGCCATTCTTATCTTATCTCATTTTCATTTGCTATTTGCCAGCTGAAGATGATGGTTCAATAAAAACATCACTTCCTAGTCCTGGGAAAATTTGAAAATATAACACTGATTTTTGTTATTTGACTTCTAAATTAATACCTTTTCAATTGTCAAGAAAATTGAATTGTTAGATGTCTTACCAATTATGAATCTAATTATTTCACTTTTGAAACTGTCTCGTGTTCTTTTCTTTTTTTTTTTTTTTTTTTTTTTTTTTTCCATTGCAATAATGCACAACAAATTTAATTTAACTTTAAGAGAAACCATTCCTGTTTGCCATATTATCCAATGGCAATAAAGATCATACTTTTAAACAATTTTTTTTTTACTCTTACATTTTCCATATCCTTAAAATTTTCATTATCTTTGTTGCTAAAGAACTCAATTATTTGCAAGCTGTAGCTATTGAGAAGAAAATTTTCTCCTTGAATTATTCATAAAAAGTTTTGGTTGATCTTTACAATATGGTAACTGGTAGTTTGGCGACATTTTGGAGGCGATAAAGGTTACTACCTGGGACTTTGGTAATAATGTGAGCAGTACTCAGTTCCGATTACGCATTATTTTTGCGTGAGGGAAATGAGAGAGCATGGGATATGTCTGGTGTATTAATGGACGAATTACGGTTCTTTAATCGGAAAAGGGGGGAAATCGGGAAAAAATCTGGAAATTTTGTATTTAGCTTTATTCTGTGTTGTGTGAAACAGTGTTGGTTAATTTTTGGATCCCATGGCCCTAACTAAAGTGAATTCGAAATGGGGTATTTAGGCATTGTGATAAAGAGAAGTTTGCTTTTTATTTAGCGGAGGAAGTATGGAGGAAAAATTCGCAAAAAAAAATCTTTCAATAATTTATTGAATGAATTAAAAGTGTATCCGCCACATAATCAAGATTCTGAAGAAGATTAGGTAAGTTAGTATTTTTAATTATTTGAGGATATTATTTTCATGCATTGTTCTAAATGTAAGGTGGAAAGGAATTTGGTATTATTGGGAAAATTGTTATTAGCAATGATTTAGTTTAAAGTAATTAGGATTGTAAGGTAATTTTTTATTAATTTAATGTATGTGCTCATTTATTTTTAAGTAGTGTTTTTGAATTTAATTATATTTTAATGAAATGATAGTTTATTTTGTGAATTTTATGTTTAGTAGGAATTTGGTATATGTTTTAGTTAAAGTAAACGTGCATGGAATAATTTAAATATCTGACACTAAGTATTTGTAATGGTTGCGGTATGAATTCGTTGGTGACGTTTATAATATAATAGATGATTTAGAGGTAAAAGTTTTTGGATATTTTATTTATTTTATATGTGGAAATGTTCATATTTGGAAAGGGTAAATACTTTTTCGCAATCAGGTAATTTCATATATGTTCTTTTTACCGGGTTTAAAGATTGAGAAAATTGTCATGTATTTTCGTGAAATTTTTCTAATTTATGAGAAAAAAGCAGCGTACATGGATATAGTGAAGAGTGTGCACAATGCCTTTTTGTGCAATTCTGGGATGTTTTTTTAAGTAAAAATAAGTCGACGTGTACATGGTTTAGTGATATTTTAATTAAATGATAGTTATTTTGTGAATTTTATGTTTGTAGGAATTTGGTATACGTTTAAGTTGAAGTAAACGTGCATGGAAATAATTTAAATATTTGATACTAAGTATTTGTAATGCTTGCGGTATGAATTCGTTGGTGACGTGTATAATGTAATAGATGATTTAGAGGTAAAAGTTTTTGGATATTTTGTTTATTTTATATGTGGAAATGTTTCATATTTGTAAAGGGTAAATACTTTTTCGCGCGATCAGGTAATTTCATATATGTTCTTTTTACCACCCGGTTTAAAGATTGAGAAAATTGTCATGTATTTTCGTGAAATTTTTCTAATTTATGAGAAAAAAGCAGTGTACATGGATATAGTGAAGAGTGTGCGCAATGCCATTTTTGTGCAATTCTGGGATGCTTTTTTAAGTAAAAATAAGTCGGCGTGTACATGGTTTATGTGTATGTGTTATTTTGAAAAATGCGTAAGGAGTATGGTATTGTGCACTTTTTCCCAATTTTGCAGTGAATATTTGTCATGATTAAGCAGTTTTGTTTGATAAAATTTCTAGCATAAGTGTAATTCGGCTAGTAGATTGTTGGAAGAAGTGTTCAGTAGATAAAAAGAAAAGAAACATGTCTTTACTTCGTGAAGACAAAATGGTGGCGGGGGGAAAAAAATAGAGGGTTGCTGTAGGAGAGTTGGTTGCCAAATTTTCGCCAAAAAATCGCCAAGTTACCATAATGTAAAGATCAACCAAAGTTTTCAATATTTTCTCCTTATCATTATAAAAAAAAATTTCCCATAAAAGCAATACTTATTAACTTGTTCTCATACAATTTTATTTTTCTGCAAGTCCATAAAAACCTTACTTTAGATTTTAATTTTGTAGAAGTTATGAAATTCCTTTTGAGTGTGATTTAACATACATTGACTAGATTGAAAGAATGTTAAAATGTTCCCTTAAAGAATACAAATGTTGTGTCAGAAAACAACAGATTAATAAACCAGCTACAGCTAATTACCACCGAAATCCAGGGTTCCTAATGCTTAATTGTTTGTACATGTCTTTTCCACTTTTGTACCCGCCAGTGGTTGATTGGGAGTTCAATCTGAGGCAAACAAGCTGGCTGCAAGGTTGGTTTCATCCATCATGTAGTTTTAAACATTTGTAAGATGAATACAATTTTTCTTAAAAAGGCTTCCACGAAGGCATCATTTGCCCTAGCATATAGCTCTCATGTACATTGACATATTGGAATATCCTATTCTATCCTAAACTTCATATATAATTTTTAATCATTGATAAGAGCAACTCCGGGCATCAAAAGATTTGGCGGGAGTGAGAAATATTTTACTATCACATAACTCTCAAATAATTAAATTTTATGTTCGTAAAGTAATGCTGCCAATAGGAATCGCACTTGACCCCCAAAACCATTGCATATCTTTACAGCAAAATTCATTATGATAGAAAGATAATGTTTTTAAATCTTTTACAAAGATATTTCTACATTGCGTTTGTCTATTCTAGGAAGCAGTGAATCCGGAATTTTGATACATGGAAACGAGAATGCTTATTTGCATGGGACAAATGGCATGATCTGAGGAATTGGAGAGCGAGATTGTCAACCTGTACAGCGTGGCCTGCATATTTTCCGTACCTCAGTACCATCGAACATGCCTGGCACAACATTAAAATTCTCCTGGGATGCTCTTTGTGGTCATGTACTGCAGAGGAGGTTACTGTCCCAAAATAAATAGTTGACTTTGAACTCCTTGCAAGGAGAATGACAAAATATTGTGACAGCACATCTGAGAGATTTTGTGGTGAATATGCAAAATGATAACTTATGTATTTTTGAGTTCAAGGAGTCCAGAATTCATACTGACAGTGAGATCAATTGTCATTCGTGTTAAAGGTTGCATTTTATTATGATTACAAGTAATCTCTGCAGGTATCTTCTTTTTACTGTTTTGTTCTCTTCCCTTATTCGAAAATTTCATCCATTTCAGTTTGATAAGTATGCCATATTTTCCTACTGCGGATTTCGTATGTTTTAGAACAATGTCCACTGCTAGTTAAAACCTTGCTGTTCCTTAGCAGTCATCAAACTGCCTACATCTCTTAGCAGCAGCATTAGGCTATGACGTTATTCTTGAGCTTAGTTTTCACTTAACCTTAAGGCTAGAACTGAATATAAAATTTATAATTTCAACTGAATTCCTTAAAATTTTTCTTTTAATTAAATAATTTGTGTAAATAACATGTCTAAAACTTGTGTAAAATATGTTGAATGTCTTATAGCTGTTTCAGAATAAATTCTATTACTTTTTATACACAAAATGTAAAAACAATAACAGCCAGTGCTTTAACTTCCAAAATGGGTTTATTTTGTTTTTATGTCTTCATTCGGTCTTTACATTCTTGTTGCATGAATTGATTAACTTTGCAACTTCCCAAATGTTCAAACCTGCATTTTTAAATTTCTGAAAGTTATGAAACGCTGTTGCTTCAACAAACCTATTTATTTTATTTTGTAGTTTTTAACTACCTATTTATAGAATATTAATCATTTCTACATGTTTAGATTCATATATATATTGTCAAAAAAAATTGAGAATTCAAAGTTGGGAGAACGTCTTTGTTAGTAGTGTTAGAGTAGCTGTGTAACTAAGATTTTACTGTAATAATTCTCTTTGTTGCTACTATCTAACTTAAACAAAAATCAGATTTTAGTTTACATTTCTTATTTCTCCGTGGAATACAGCTTTCACTTTTTTAGAATGGAAAAGAGCTGTCACTTACTCCTCAGATACAGTGTAACTGCTTGTCGTTATTTACATGACTTAAAATGAATCTCCTCTTTTCAAGTTTTTAAGTTTTTATTTCATCTCAGCAGCAGAAAGCAAGTGGCCTAGTGGTTAGTACTTAACATTGCAAAAAATTTACTTTTGTTATGGAGCTCATCTATAAACAGTATCTTATCTTCACTGATATGTCAGCAGTGCTTCGAAACGTCAGGCCTAATTTACCTGTTTTTAAAAAATCCCATCAATTAATTTTTACGCCAATATCTCAAAATATTTTTTTTTATAAGCTAAGGTCTCTAATCGTTAGCAGAATCATTTTAAATACGAATGACTAGTGACAATATTTGTCAAAACTAAGGGTAAAAAAATTAACCAATTGAATTGTATAAAAGAATAGCCTTGGTGGACAGCTCATTTCCAAAAAAAATTAGAGCTTGAATGAGAAACTTTTACTTCCTAATCTTATCCACACATAAAAATATGTAATGAATCACTGCAATTTTTTCTGTAAGGAAACTACCCCATTTCAAATGTGATTTGCGACACCTCGTAGAATTAAATACCTATAACTGCTTTTGGTTGATAATGTCGATCCTTACTAGAACTTATTTCATGAAACACAGCTTAAGCATCTGCTTAGTTTTTGTATATTGATGCACAAATATAATATAAAGCGTTTCTCCTCTTCGTTATTTGTACACTAATACAGGGGTCGCCAAACTTTTTTGATCATCGCCCTCTATATAATTTTTCGAAATCTCCATAGACCCCCCACAAAGGTAATTTTCAGGTAATTAAAATGAAATTATATATTAGGCTAAATATTTAATAAATCAGAAACAGTAAGTAAAGTAACTACAGATTTTTTACTTCTTAATGAGATGAGTATGCCTGGTGTTTCTTGGCAAGGTTCGCTATATTGGGTTCGAAATTAGTCAATTTTTAACCGTAAATCCCCTTGAAGCTCCACATTTAATTTATTTCTGTTTTTAGTTAAAATTGAATTAACGTGACTGAAACCGGCTTCAACCATATATGAACTTGGAAACGCCAGCATAAATGGCTGAGCCATTTCGTAAAGTTTCACATATTTTTGCTTTATATTTATATTAGCCCAAAATTTATGTATTGTCAAATTTTAAGAAGCGTTTTTGCTTCAAGATCGGACAATAGTTCAGCAAGCTCATCTTGTATGTTGATGTCAACGTTATCAATTTGTGCCGAAAATGGCGCAATAATCCAATCAAGGATGTCGATGTTTTCCAAATCAACAAAGCGCAGTCTAAAATCGTCGCTTAATTTTTGAAGATGATTTGTATATATTTCCAAGTCTTCTTTATTTTTAATTGTTGCAGATTTTGAAAAATACTTATAATCCTTACGTAGCAATGAAGATCTAAATAAATTTAATTTTACTTGGAAGCCTAACAGTATTGTCCGAGCTTGGATAATTGTTACATCTTTTCCTTTCAGTTTTGTTTGAACGTCATTAAATTTTCCAAATAAGTCTGCTAAATAAAAAAATATGGTTCTTATTGTTTTGGAGTTCATTGCTTAGAACAGGATTTATTTCGTTCAGAAATTCTGTCGTGGAGTCAAATAAATTGACGAGCCGTTGCAAGCATACACCTCTAGACAACCATCTAACCTCGGTGTGCAGAAGTAATTGGTTAAATAACTCGTTGTTTTCCTCACAAAGTTTGGCAAATAATCTTGACTTAAGAGGTTGAGCTTTAATTTGATTAATAGATTTAATACAAAGCTGTAAAGCTTCATGTAACTCTGAACTCAGATATTTTGCTACTAATTTGTGTCTATGCAACACACAATGAATAGTACGAATACCGGGCACTTTTTCTTCGAGGCATGCAGCAAAACCTCGGTAACGCCCTACCATAGAAGGTGCGCCATCTGTGGCTACTGCTATTATATTTTCAAGCGGAATGTCATGTTTATTTAAATATTCTTGTAAACATCCAAAAATTGTCACTCCCCATCGGTTTCAAGATATTTAGCAAATAAAAATTCATCAATGACTTCTCCTTTAATTTTACTGAAATATCTAACATATGCCATAAGAATAGCAGAAACGCCAAAAACAGATTCATCAAATTGTATAGAGAACTTGCAATTTTTTAGCTCCGAAACTATTGTGTTTTCTATTTCTTCGGCCATTTCGTCAATATGCCGTTTTACAGAATTTGCACTTAATGGCAAAGACTTTAAAACATTAGTAGAGTCTTTTTTCATCACATTCTCAATGACGTCTTTAATTGCAGGTACTACAATTTCTTCTGCGATTGTGTAAGGTTTTCCCCTCTTTGCTATATTAAGCAAAATCTTATACGAAAAGCAATTAATCCTCCTCATTTTCAGTTTCAGTAGACTGTTTGTTCAGTAGAATGTTTCATAAAACTTTTTAGAGTTGGTCGGCACGTGAATTTTTCTTTGAGTTTTTTGAAAAATTCTAATTCTTCACTTCATTTTTTTTTTATCTGAATGGAAGCCCTTTCAAGATTGATCTTTCATTTTTGACGGTTTCATGTATTCATTTCCAAAAGTTTTTTCACATATAAGACACATAGGAATAGTTTCATTTGTCGGTGAACAAATAAATCCAAATTTTAAGTAATCCAATGAATAATACCGACATTTCTTTTTAGATACTGAAGCTGTCATTTTTAAATTAGTGTTCTGTAAATAAGTTAAAATTAAGTTGGTATATTATACTAATCCACATTATTAAAGCTTACCTTTTCACAAATAACAATAATTAAAATTGATATCAAAACTAAACGAATAGTTTTATAGAGAACATAACTAATTATCCAATGGTAGATATAATAATAGTAATAATGACACTACAAGCATTTAATACTGTTCACAGTTCACAAAGATAGCTGAAAATGCATATGATATTTGCGTTTGTAGCATCCAGTGTAGAATTGGACAAGCGCACATATGCATCTGACTCATATGCAAGGCTCGTATGGTTTACGATGGAGACAAAGGGCGAACCAATGACACGATGCGTAACTGCCGTATAAAAAAGAAAAAAAGTAAAAGAACTAAAACCACACACATCAGAAGAAAGAAAATGGAGTACTGAAGATTCCCTTCGCGTTTAATGCGTAGAAAGGCAACGGCATTTCGTCGCTCACCAAGCCTGCGCCAAAGGCTCCTAATTGGTTGATGGGTTCGCCAGCAAGAGACACAGATAAGCCTCAATCGCTCTTCTGGCTACATACTATGAGTCGTGCAAAATACAAATTGGTTACAAGGTCAAGTTGTGACGGTATACATACGAAAACCCATACAGAAAAAAGGGGCATATTGTTTTCTGATTTATTATTTTATTTTCTATAAAGAATATAATAAGTCAATTATAAAAATATTTTTAATTTTTACGTACGCAGTTAGATATGTGTGATTTGCGTATTAAGAACTGTTTTTCCTTCGAGTCCCAATAGACCCCCCATTCGACCCCTTGGGTCAGATAGACCCCTACTGTTGTTAAATAGACCCCTAGGGGTCTATATAGACCACTTTGGCAACCTCTGCACTAATATAATATTGTTGCTCGCGTATGGGTCCGTAATAGATTGAATGCACGCACATCCCATGATAGGTTGACAAAAAAAATTTTTTCAAAGAAAATGCTTTACAGTTGTGGAATTTTCCACAAAAATAATCACACAATTCTTCATGGTATCACAGAGTACAATCAGTAGTTGATCTTCAAACTACTAAGAACGTTAAACACAACACAACACAGTGCAGTGCATATCAAGGGAGAGAAGCTAATCCGGAGATATCTCAGTATTCCAAACTCGCACTGACCTAACACTTGAGAAACTGATGCTAAGTCCTGTCATTTAGAGTTTTCGACTGGCCGTCATATAGTACTTCTAGTACTTTCTTCTCGAAATCACTGAAAGCCATGAGGGCCGAATACATTAGAATTACAGTTATTCAATTATAATATCCATTAGAGTTGTACAGAGACCAGACCAAAATGTGACCAAATGGTCACCAAGTTTGGTACCTTTTGGTGATTTCTTGCCATATTTGGCAACCAAATTAGTTACCAAGGCTGTCTCCAGCTTGGCGATAACTTGCCCCTCTATTTTTTCAGCAGAGCATT